TTCTCCTCCTCCTCCTCCTCCTCCTCGCCTCCTCCTCCTCCTCCTCCTTCTCGCCTCCTCCTCCTCCTCCTCCTCCTCCTCCTCGCCTCTTCCTCCTCCTTCTCGTCCTCCTCCTCCTCCTCCTCCTCCGCACGCTGTGGGGGCCGCCCTCCTTCTTATTCTGCTTCGCAGGTGCGCAACTCACGAGTCCGTGTCCTGGTCTACTTCGGCAGCGCTCTGCCCCTCATCGCTGCGACGCCCAAGTTCCCCAGCACAGCACCCTTTGGGTGTAAGGTCTCGGGGCCCTCGAGGTGTCCAATAATACGTTTCCTTGTGGCGTTGTTGCTATATGTTCGTTCGATGGCCGTCTTTATCAGCGGTCGGACGTTCTAGTTTCGTTTCAGTGTCGTTCCAATGTCGTTCCAGTTTCGTTCCGCTTTCGTACCAAATTCTGCTCGGCTCTTTCTGGAACGACGCGCCCCCAGAACGGACCCAGATCGACATTGGAGCGACCAGCACGAGCGCGCGCGTCCTCGAAGGGTCCTGTGACCTGGCGCCCGACACGCTGACAGCAGCCAAGGTGAAGAGGCGGGTCGAGGAGAGGAGGCGAGAGGAGGAGGAGGAGGAGGAGGAGGAGGAGAGGAGGAGGAGGAGGAGAGGAGGAGGAAGAAGACGAGGAGGAGGAGGAGGCAGGAGGAGAGGAGGAGGAGGAGGAGGAGGAGGACAGGGGTGAGGGCACGTCCATGATCACCGACGTTGCTATGTTTGCAGGTGGTAGTGGCGCCAGACCACCTCCTCCTCCTTCCTACTCCCTCATCCTCCTCCTCTCCCCCTCCTCCTCCCCCTCGCCTCCTACTCCCCCTTCGCCTTCTTCCCCTCCTCCTCCTCTTTCTCCTCCTCCTCCTCTTCTGCGTGAGGGCCCGGCCGGTAGTCGAGTTGCCGCGCTGGCTTCGTCTGTGTGGTCACATTTTCAGGATCCGCCCCCTAAGCCCCCCCTCAGGAAAAAAACATGTAGCCGGCAGTGAGGCGAGAGCACGACTCCTGAGTGAAGTGCGAGGACGTCTCGAGCGAAACGGCCGTCGGGGCAGGGCGTCCTGGGGCTCCCAGCCACTCCTGTGGGTCTTCTGTGCGCGTGTCTGCCGCCAGCAGAGCCCTCTTTCGTGGAACGCCGTTCGGTAGCAGTCGGCATCTCGTTGTGCTCCGGGCCCCTGGGGCCCCGCGGCTTTGTGTCCGGGCCGAGAGACGTCGCTCAGAGATGGACTGTCCATGCCGATGTGCTTTTTCTTCCACGACGCCAGATCTCCCTCCTCCCCCTCCTCCTCCTCCTCCTCCGCTCCCTCCTCCTCCTCCTCCTCCTCATCTCTGCCTCCTCCTCCTCCTTCCCTCCTCCTCCTCCTCCTCCTCCTCCTGCGGGGACGTCTCGAGCGAAACGGCCGTCGGGGAAGGGCGTCCTGGGGCTCCCCGTCACTCCTGTGGGTTTTCCGTGCGCGTGCTTGCCTCCAGCAGAACCCTCTTTCGTGAAACGCCATGCGGTAGCAGTCGAATCGTCTCGTTGTGCTCCGGGCCCTTGGGGCCCCGCGGCTTTGTGTCCGGGCCGAGAGACGTCGCTCAGAGATGGACTGTCCATGCCGATGTGTTTCTTCTTCCACGACGCCAGATCCCTCCTCCCCCTCCTTCCTCCTTCCTCTCATCCTCCTCCTCCTCCTCCTCCTCCTCCTCCTCCTCCTCCTCCTCTGCCTCCTCTGCCTCCTCCTCCTCCTGCTCTTCCTCCGCGACGCCAGATCTCGCGGAGGCCTTCCCTTGAACAAGCATCGATAACCTTGCAGTCAGAAGAGGCGTCGTGGCACCGCTGCCAGCACTTAATCTTGTCCGCTCGCGGATGCGATCACATGTTCGTAGCGTATCTTCGAAAGAGCGTGTTCTACCGCTGCTGGCGGAAAACCTGGGGGGGGTCACTACCGGTTCGAACCCCTCTCCCCCCCCCCCCCCTCCGGAAAACCGGGGAGGGTCACTACCGGGTTTCGAACCCCCTCCACCCCCCCCCCCCAGCTTTTCTTTTTTATCTTTCATCTTTTTTTTTATTATTGAAAAGGGGGTGGGGGTCACTACCGGTTCGAACCCCCCCCCCCCCCTCGAAAACCGAGTGGGGGTGCGGACAGTGGTGGGGACGGTGTTGGTGGGGACAGTGGTGAGGGGACAGCGGGACAGTGGTGGGGACAGCGGGGGGACAGTGGGACAGCGGTGGGGACGGTAGTGGTGGGGACAGTGGTGGGGACAATGGTGGGAACAGGGGGGGACAGTGGACAGTGGTGGGGACGGTGGTGGTGGGGACAGTGGTGTGGGGACAGTGGGAATGAGGTGGAAACAGTGGGACAGTGGAGGGTACAATGGTGGTGGGGACAGTGGTAAAGGCGGTGGCGAGGACGGCGGTGGGACAATGGGACAGAGGTACAGTGGGGACAGTGGTGGGGACAGTGGGAATGAGGTGGCAACAGTGGGACAGCTCAGTGGGACAGCGGAGGAGTCAGTGGGACAGTGGGGACAGTGGGGATAGGCAGTGGTTGGGTCCGTGGAGACAGTGGGGAGAGTGGAACCGTGGTGGGAACAGTTGTGGGAACAGTGGGGACATTGCGACAGTGGTGGGGGCACTGGTGGGGACAATAGGGACGGTGGTGGAACCAGCGGGGGCAGTGGTGCTGAGGACAGTGGTGCTGGGAACAACAGTGGGGGATGTCATGCGAGCGGTGGTAGAGACCGGGAGTCGTTTGCTGGCGGTGCGTGGGGGGGGGGGTTCGAACAGGTAGGACCCCCCGTTTTCAGAGAGGGGGGGGGGCCCAAACGGAGTGACCCCCCCCGGTTTCCGGACCGAGGGGGGAGCCCCGGAGGGTTTCGAACCGGTAGTGACCCCCCCCGGTTTTCGAGGGGGAGGGGGGGGGGAGGGGTTAGGGGAGGGGGGGAGGTCTGCCGGGGGAGGGGAGGGGGGGGGCGGTCCAGCAGGGGGGGGGGGATTTTCGGAGGGGGGGGGGCGGGGAGGACACCGGGCTCCGGAGGAAAAGGTTGGCAATTTTCCACAGTAAAGCGGCGGTGGATCACGCTCTCTCGAATCTTCGAATCCGGTACATGCGTGTCTCGCATGTTTTTTCCTGGTTGTTTTTGCAGGTATCCGCAGGCCCTCAGAGGTTTCTGAAGGTCCCAACAGTCCCCCAGAGGCTGCAGAGTCCTCCAAAGGCCCAGCAAGAGCCAACGAGGTCCCAAAAACTCGATCCTCTGCTCTTCAATCCTGGAGCCCTTCCCACGGCAGCCTTCCTTCCAGGCGCCTGCCCGCATCCTGGCGGACGCGCCCCGACCAGAGCACGCGCGGCCCTGGTCCACCCACCCCTCCCAGGTCGGGGGCTTGCTGAAGGTGCCCCTGGCCCCAGGCCCCCCCAGCTTTTTCCTCCGATTCTGAAGACGGGACGGGGTGGGCACGAGCGGGCATCATAGCCGGCTCAAAATCAAAAGAGGCATCATAGCCTCATCAATCAAGATTGATCCACTCACGGATCCACTGCAATTGATTTTCATTGAATTCATTCCATGCGTAGCATGCTCTCCCCTGAAGCCCTCTGGGCCTCGTCGGGGGTGCTCTGGAGGCCGTGGGGGCCTCCCTGGAGATCCTGGGGGCGCCTCGGGCCGGGGGCGCTCCCGGCAGCGCCCGACAGGGCCCGCCCGGGCCAGCCCTCCGAGCCGCGCCCCGCCGCGGCGACGAGAACCCCCGGGCAGCGGCCAAGAAGCCTCCGAGAGACCTCCTCCTCCTCCTCCTCCTCCTCCTCCTCCTCCTCCTCTTCCTCCTCCTCCTCCCCCTCCTCCTCCTCCCCCTCCTCGTGCTGGTCCTTCTCCTCCTCTTCCCCTTCCCCCTCCTCCCCCCTCCTCCTCCTCCTCCTCCTCCTCCTCCTCCTCCCTCCTCCTCTCCTCCTCCTCCTTCGTCGCGCTCCCCTCCTTTTCCATCTCCTCCTCCTCCTCCTCCTCCTCCTCCTCCTCCTCCTTTGATGCTGCTTAGCTTCTTGCAGGTGCGCCGGCTGTTTCACCCTTTCGAGCGCTCCTGCTTGGCACCTGGTCTGTTGCTGGGGCGCAGGAAGAACCCTGACATCCTCCGATGTGTATTTTCAGCCCGCCACCTCAGAGGTCCAGACCGTTTCCGCGGGGGTGGCTTTGCGGCCCGGATCCGCTGGAAGAGTTCCCGGGGCCCCAACACGTCCTGATTTGTGCAGGACGGCGTCCCCGGAAATCCCGACCCTGTCCCCGGGACCGGTTCTTCATCCCGAGTCGTCTTTTGACGGTCCCGGGGCCCGGCGAGGGCCTTTGGAGGCCGAAAACGGCGAAAAAACGCCATCCTGAATTTCTTACGACGCGATCGTGTCTGGGGAACCGTTGCGATTGAGCAACGTCGCACCGTCTGAGGTCTGGGGCCTGGGGCGGCGCCCGAACAGCCAGTGGGGGCCCGGCGGGAGCCGGTGGCGCGGGGGCGCAGGCGGCGCGGGAGGCGTCGACGGCAACGACGCCGAGGCGACGGCGACGACACGACGTCACGACGACGACGGCGACGACGACGACGACGACGACGGCGTCGACGACGACGACGACGACGACGACGACGACGACGACGACGGCACCGACGGTGACGGCGACGACGTCACGACGTCATGACGTCACGACGACGACGACGACGACGACTACGTCGACGGCGACGGCGACGGCGACGGCGACGGCGTCGCGACATGGGCCCCAAAACGGCCCGGCAGGAGCCAGCCGCAGCGAGGGTCGTCACCACGTTCCGCGGCGACATCGTCCAGAAGTACCGCGTGATCCGGCAGCTTGGCGCGGGCGTGTCCGGCATCGCGTACCTGGTGCAGAGCAAGAGCACGGGGCAACAGTACTGCGCGAAGGATCGGCCGCGCCCAGAAGGTGTAAGGTTTGGAGGCGCTTTCGGGCGTGTCCTTGGGTTCTCCGCTAATTGGGGGGCCACATGCGAACCCTACCCCTGCCCCCCGCGATTTCGGAGGGGGAGGGTGGGGTTCACTTCGCTCGGGAGCTCCCGAAAACGAGGTGAACCCCACCCTCCCCCTCGGAAGTCGTGGGGGGTAGGGGTAGGGTTCGCATGTGGCCCCCTAATTAGCGGTTTTCTGGCTTCGGGGTGCGTTCCAGCAGCTGCGCCTAGCCGCGGGCGCTTCCTGGGCCGCACAGGTTGCCCGAGGGGCCGCCGGGGACCCGAGCTCCGAGCCGCACGCCAGACGAGAAGCCGTGGAGGGCGAGTCGACGCAGCGGCAGTTTGCCTTTTCGGGGGGCTCGTTTCGATTCCTCCGCTTCGATTCGATTTCGACGGCCTCCGATTCCGAGTCGATGCGACTTCGGATGCCAACGTGGATGCCGATTCCTCGGTGGGGGCCTACTAGCCAGCTGACGTCTGCCGATTCGACTTCTCCCGACTTGGCTGCCGATTTCTGCCGATCCGACTCATTTCGATCGCCGATGGACTTGTCGATTCGATTCAGGGCTCTCCTGGCGGGTCCTTCTTCGCCACGGTGTCGAGAATACGCCGCGCCTGCCATGCCCTGCGCCATGGCCCGCATAGACGCCGCGCTCGGAGACCATTCCCTGCGCACCCCCTACGAGGTCGAGAAAGAGTCACACCTGCCACTCCCTGCACCATGGCCCGCATAGACGCCGCGCTCGGAGACCACCCCTAGCGCACCCCCCTACGAGGTCGAGAAAGTGCCACACCTGCCACGCCCTGCGCCATGGCCCGCATAGACGCCGCGCTCGGAGACCACCCCCAGCGCACCCCCCACGAGGTCGAGAAAGTGCCACACCTGCCACGCCCTGCGCCATGGCCCGCATAGACGCCGCGCTCGGAGACCACCCCCTGCGCACCCCCTACGAGGTCGAGAAAGTGCCACACCTGCCACGCCCTGCGCCATGGCCCGCATAGACGCCGCGCTCGGAGACCACCCCCTGCGCACCCCCTACGAGGTCGAGAAAGTGCCACACCTGCCACGCCTTGCGCCATGGCCCGCATAGACGCCGCGCTCGGAGACCACCCCCTGCGCACCCCCCTACGAGGTCGAGAAAGTGCCACACCTGCCACGCCCTGCGCCATGGCCCGCACAGACGCCGCGCTCGGAGACCACCCCCTGCGCACCCCCTACGGGGTGAGGAAAGTGCCACACCCCACGCCCTGCGCCATGGCCCGCATAGACGCCGCGCTCGGAGACCACCCCCAGCGCACCCCGTACGAGATCGAGAAAGTGCCACACCTGCCACGCCCTGCGCCATGGCCCGCATAGACGCCGCGCTCGGAGACCCCACCTCAGCCCCCCAGCCGCGCTGCGAGCACGCGTCGCGGCCCTCGCTGAGCTGTATGCTGTGCTGCTGTGTCGTGCTGCGCTGCGCTGTGCTGTGCTGCGCTGTGCTGTGATGTGCAGCTGTGTGCTGTGCTGAGCTTTGCTAGGCTGTGCTGTGCTGTGCTGTGCTGCGCTGCGCTGTGTTATGCTGTGCTGCTTGAGAATGAGAGGGGGCAGGGAGGGAGGCGAGGTGAGAGCCGCGGGTACGCGTGTGGGTGAGGAGAGGAGAAGAGGGAAGAGGGGAAGAGGGAGGTGAGTGAATGAGTGAGCGTCGCGGGTGGGACGCGGCAGGGAGGAGAACCAGAACCCCACGAAACATGTGGGGAAAACACAAAGACACAATTCATCGTCGACTCCCAGAACATAGAGGAAAATATGGGAAGTGGGGGGGACGACAGAAACCAAGAACGCATGGGAAAATGGGTGGATCCTGCTATTTGTGTCTATGTAGTTGTGTGTCCCAGGGCCCCTTCAATGAGGGAGGGGGCCCTGAGGCAAACACGCCCCAGACCCCAGAGCTTTTCCTGAGCTGCGGTGGCTTTTCATCCTGAGTCGTCAGTTGACGGTCCTAGGGCATGGGAAGGGCCCGCGAGGTCAATGTTGGTGCGAAACCTCAGGACCTCCTCCTCCTCCTCCTCCTCCCTCCTCTCCTCCTCCTCCTCCTCTCCTCCCCTCCGCCTCCTCCTCCTCCTCCTCCCTCCTCCCCTCCCTCCCTCCCATCCTCCTCCTCTCCCTCCCTCCTCCTCCTCCCGCAGATCAGTTCTGCGAATCTCGAGAGCCCGCGCGACCAAGGGAGTTGCCCTAGCAATCACGAAGGGCGACCCCGCCTGGCATCGCCGCGCGCGCCGGCAGCGCGCGGCGGCGAGAGTGCTGCTCAGGCTGGGCGCAGCTGCCCGCCTGCTGAGGCAACATCACAGCGCGATGGCGCCGCAGGGCGGACGCCGCACGGCCAGCGGAGGTGGAGGCAGCCAACGGGGTCAGCACGGTGGCGATGCTACGGTCCCGCCGTGGAGCTGCGGGGAGTGCCACACCTCCAACTTCGCCACGAGGAAGTCCTGCCGCCAGTGCGGAGGAGAGAGGCAGCAGGAGGCGCCATGGCAGCAGCGCCGCCGCGAGCGTGGGGCCAGCAGAGGAGGCCAACGAGAGGCGAAGCCCAAGGGAGCCCAGCCCTCGCAGGAGCAGACCGCGGCGGCCATTGACAAGGAGCCGCTCGGCATCCTCCCCATGCTGCCGGAGCAGGCCAAGCTCCACAGCGCATGGGTACCGCCCCCGCAGCAGGCCGCGGGCCTGAAGCAGTACCGTGAGTCGCTCAGGAAGGCGCTCACGGCAGCCGAGGGCAGGGTGCGTGCCATCCGCGGGCAGGTGGCCCCAGACCCCACGAGGCTGCGCAAGGCGGAGCAGGAGTATGCCGCCATCCACTGCCAGGTGATCCTGTCCAGGGACCCGGCGACGAGGGCCGACAAGCAGGAGGCCTTCGTGAAGAAGGCGCGCAGGGCGCTAGAGGGCGCCAAGGACGCAGAGCTGGCCGCGCAGCTCAAGATGGCTGCAGCTGAGGCCGACACCAAGCAGGCGAAGCAGGACCTTGAGCACGCTCAGGTCTTCCTGGAGCAGATGTTGAACATGGCAGACTTCTGCTCGTACCCTGCGCCGCCGCCGCAGCCGCGGGCGCAGGGAAGGCGCAGTGCATGGCAGAGCCCACCAGCATCAGGGGATGTGGAGGCCGAGGAGCTCTCGTCCTGCCTCGACGAAGAGAGTGAGCCACGCCAAGCACGCGACCAGTACGGAGATGGCAATGACGAGGACATGCCATCCACGCCGCGGCCGAGGCAAGAAGTGGCGGAGGTCGCACAGACGCAGCAGCGCGTGGCCTCACTCGAGAAAGGCATGGCGCAGCTGATGGAGCAGATGATGCAGATCAACTCGAACCTCCTGGCCGCCGCCGCACAGGCACCCTCAGCCGCAGCCTCAGCCCAGCAGTTGCAGGCCGCAGCAGCAGTCCCCGTGGCACATGCAGGTGGCAGTGCTATCGCGGCCACCAATGAGAGGGCCGCTAAGGCAGCCGCAGACAAGCTGGCCCGCGAGCAGGAGCGGGCATCGGCGGAGGCCGAGCGGGACAAGCAGGCGGGCAGGCAGCAGACCAGGCTGCAGCTTCGACCCGCAGCAGAGGCGGCGACCAAGAAAGAAGGAGGGAGAGAGGAGCGCTCACGCTCACCCGAGGCCAGGCAGCATGCCGGCCCAGGGCTAGCGGACAGGATGCCAGGAGGGTCTCCCGCCTCCCCAGCTGCAGCGTCTTCGACAGCGTCGATGGCCAGTCCGGCCAGCGCTGCGGCCAGGCCATCCCAGTGACAAACACGGGGCCTCGCCGAGGACACCCCGCTCCCAGGTGACAGGGAGGGCGGGGCCCCTAGTGATGTCACCCAGCCAGACCTACAAGGGCGGCAGCCGCGACGCGTGGTGCCGCTGCCAGGCTGTGAGCATGCACTCAGCATGCTACGGGCAGCCTGGCCCTTCGACCTCACGGCCCTGGACGAGGGCGTGCTGGGTCCCTCTCTCCACAGCTCCACCAAGGCGCTCCTGGCGGAATGCTGTGAGGATGCCTTCGCGGCGGTACCAGGCCGAAGAGCATCTCCTTTCGGGTATGTCTCCCTGGACATCTACACAGATGGCTCAGGAGGTGCGGACAAGGGCCACATGCCAGGTCCTCCGTCGTGGGCCTTCACGGTGATCGGGACAGACGAGCAGGGGCGTATGTCCAACATCGGCTACCTGGGCCAAGCGATGCCGGACCTCGCGGACAAGTTTGCTCAGCCCTCCGTGGCAGCAGAAGTCTGTGCAGCAGCGGCCGCCGCCATGTGGGTTCTCCAGCTGCACCAGGCAGACCCCTCGGTCCACCTCATGGACACCCCCATGCCGCACATCACCTTCCACTCGGACTGCCTCTACGTGCTCGACATCGCGGCAGGAGGGGCCTCCCTTGCCACGTATGCCCCGTTTTCCACAGTGTTTGACGGGATGCACAAGCTCTTGCAGGCAGTCACCCACTTCAGCTGGAAGCATGTCCCGGCGCATGAAGGCAACGGCTGGAACGAGCTGGCAGACACGATTGCCACGTTAGCCAGGGGAGGAGAGATCGAGACAGCTCTCGACGACAGCTTCTGGGAGCGTGTCCTGGACATGGCGCAGGAGGCGCCATGGCTCTGGCTTGCAGCGGCGCCAGCGCATCTCCAGGCCCAGTATCCCACCCCAGGTGCTGAAGCTCCCCAGCTGGCTCCGCCGTGCCGCGGGCTGGCAGACTTCCTGCACGACCGCCTGGAGTGCACCGGCACGGGAGGCGCCCAGCAGCTGCAGCAGGAGGTGAAGCTAAGGGTAGCAGTCGCCAATGTCCTCACGCTCGACCCGAGCAAAGCCAGGACAGGAGGTGGCAAGGCCTTCTCAGGAGTGCTGCTCCCAGGGCGTGTCCACATGCTCTCGGGCCAGTTCGGGCTTTTCAAGTACCACCTCGTCGGCACGTTGGAGACGAGAGTGCCCAAGTCCTCAGTGCTGAA